CAAAGCCCATCTTTATTTTTGCCTATTTGATTAAGCTTTGATTAAATATACTGTAGCCGGAATGACCCCCAAATTTGGAGTTGTCAAGGAGGCTTAACAGGCTGTCTTCTCCTCTGGCTGATGCTGGCTTACATGCCCAGATCAGGCTAATGACAAAGAAGCCTTCACAGCTGGAATCCACCTTACCTTTCTCTCTGTAGGACACCTGCTTGGGGTCACCTGGCCTGTCTAGCACCTTGCTGGGTGGATTTGCTGAGCTGTCGTGCAGTTTCTTAATTCTCAGCCACCATCCAATTCTCTTATAATACTAACTCTGCCAGTTTTTGCATTTTCCCTCCTGTCTCTGCCTAGAAATTGTCTCTTTTCACATCCTGGTGTGTGAATACGGGGAATCCCCAAACAGTCTCCTGTTTGAAAAGGGACTGAGTTGACCTGATAGCTTCAATGCACTAACTTCACAGAAGCTCTAAAGGAGTCACAGTAAACTTGAGCTGGCCTAATATTGAGATAGCTGCTTAGCTTTGGAAAAAATAATTTGGAAGCCATCTCTGTAAGCTTATATTCCTTCTCTTGCTAGGATTTGAAACCCTTGGTGCTTTCAACTATTTATGTAATATATATGGGACAGTATGGAATAGCATCTAAGAGGATGACCTCGGGAGTCAGGATGCCCAGATTCAAACCTGCCTGCTATGCACTCATTTGTGGACCACTGCTATCTTCCTTAAGTTCTCATTCTTCCATTTCATTTGTGATAGGGGCATAATAATAACACGTCCTTCACAGAGGTGCAAATGCACATGCATCTGTAATATAAATTATTACTATTGTTATTAATAAAAATAAAGGGTTTGGGTAGCACAGGGGATAAATGGCCAGGCTCATGGAGAGGGAAATCATGTAGGTCCTGTTAAGCTCATGTATATCGTATTAAAAATCCTATTTTCAAGATGAACTCTCTTAGCAACTTTCCAAATATACAACCCTATTGTTAACTATAGTCATCATGCTGTACATTACATCTCCAGTGTGTAGTGAGAAGGCTCTACAGTGTTAATTACAGATTTTTCCACTACACTATGATATATGAATTTCTAAAAAGCTTTGTATTCTGTAAAATTTATATTAAAACAGCAGGATTCAGGGCACCTGGGTGTCTCAATCATTTAAGTGTCTGCTTTTGGCTCAGGTCATGATCCTGGGGTCCTGGGATCTCGAACCCCAAATCATGGGGCTCCCTGCTCGACTAGGAGTCTGCTTCTCCCTCTGCCCTTCCCTGCTGCTCCTCCCCCCCACTCATGGGTGCATGCTCCCTTTCACAAACAAATAAATAAAATCTTAAAAAAAAAAAAAAAAGCAGGCAAGATTCATGAGGAAAAAATAAGATTATGTGCAAATCTCCCAAACTTGTGAAGTCACCGCTCGCAATCATCACCCTCATGGAAATATTAATAAAAAGAGACTACTAATAAGTAAATTTCCCTTTATATATAATATTCTATTTTAGGGAGAAAGGAGAAAGTGATTTGATGATAGGGCTAGAAGTAAGATTAAGCCTACTTTGAGAAAGAGAAAGGGGTGGGGCTGGACATAAAAGTGAGAAAACACACCATGATGAGATAGAATGTGTGTCCAAACAGGGTCAAAGGAAAGATAGAATGTGAACGTAAGGGAAATGGGGATTCTATTCCACACTGCCCTCCACGGCTGCAGTTAAATCCTGCATTATTATGATATTTTGTGTTTGGCCATCATTTTTGGTGATGTGAGTCATTGATGTACTGAGGAATTATCTTATGAAACAACACACTTTGCATGTTATAATTACTTTCTTCTCTACTTATCAATCCTTCACAGCCTATCCCCTCACGTTGTAGACACACATTCTAGGGTATGAGAAGGGGAATGATGTCCATAGATTAGAATTTCTGAAAAATTACTCTAGTAACGAATCAAATCTCAGAATCTGGACACTTTTGAGGCCAAACAGGAAAGGGTAGCTGGAACGGGACTGGTGGCAGTGATGGTGAATTTACCCAGATATTCAATATCGAAAATCCCTACTCTACACTCAAAAGACACTTGCTTAAAGACACAGCCTTAGGTGTCAATGCTCTCTAAACCCTTGAATTTGGATACTTCACACCCCCAAAAAAGCGGAGGAGAAAAATTTCACGGAATAGGAAAGCAAAATACAACCTAATTACATATACTAGACTAGGTTTGGGAAGTCCGAGTTCCTGCCATCCACTTTTTCTATTTGGGTTTATCTACCCAGCTGTTCTGCTTATGCCTAGACTAGCATTGCCATGAGTATGGGAAGAAGCATGGAAGAAACGGAAAGGTTAACAAATTAGAACACTTTGGATGTTGGTGTTAGTGCTTCAAACTTGAGAACAGATGAAGAAAATACATGTACTCTGCCTACACAAGCTTATTGAAAATAGTGGCAAATATTCTCTGAACTCTTAAATGTATTGTCACATAGACATGATACATTCATGTAAGATATTTGGTTTTGAACATTAAGAATAAATTATTTCATTGGAAACTACAATTTGTGATTTAAACTCTTGTTTGAATCAGTACTGTCCAATAAAAAATAATGCAAACCACAAATGTGAGCTGCATATATAATTTTAATTTTCTTTTTTTAAATATTTTATTTATTTATTTGAGAGGAAATGAGTGAGAGAGAGCAGGAGAGAGGAGAAGGTCAGAGGGAGAAGCAGACTTCCTAAGGAGCTGGGAGCCCAATGTGGGACTCGATCCTGGAAGTCTGGGATCATGACCTGAGCGGAAGGCAGTCGCTCAACCAGCTGAGTCACCCAGGCGCCCTATAATTTTAATTTTCTACTAAACACAGTAAAAAATCAAAAAGAAATAAGTGAAGATAATTTTTATATTTATTCAATCTAATACATCCAAAATATTACCATGTCAACAAAAAATGAATATAGAAATTGAGAAATTCCACGTTCTTCCTTTTCTGGTATTAATTCTTTGAAATTTGGTATGTAAATTAAAAATCTCAAATTGCCACATTTCAACTAAATAGCCACATATGGCTAATTGTTACCATATGGGACGATATAGGTATAAGTTAACTTGTTATGAGCATTATTTTGCCAGAATGAAAAGCTACAATTAAATATATGCCTACTTATGTTTTTGTCAGTATGTAACAATCTCATCCCTTCACACAATAGAAAAATATCATATCCTGTTTTCTTTCTTTTTTAAGGGAGTATTCTTATAGAATGCTTTCAAAGTATAACTTTTGGATATTTCCCATCTCATATCTTATTTCAAGCATGATTCCCACATTCAATGCTTACATTTGAACATTTGTGAGGAATGTATTTTAATTTTTGTTATGTTGTATATGCCTGGATGACCACTGAACTGCATCGTAGCTCACAAGTTGACAAGATGCCATGTTTCATAGATGTTTAATTAAACATATATTGATTTTGATTTTAGTTCTCTTGTTTTGGAAACGTTATATATACTTTCTGGCCTCCAACACTTTTGGCTCTTGAAAAATTCCACTTTTAGGCTGTAGGCTTTGAGCCCTGAGTGCCAAATGCACAAAATCATGCTGGCTGGAGCCACTTGCTGGCTGCTCGCAGAGTATAGGCTGTTCCTGTTCCTTTAGTTCTCAGTGCAATTGTCACCTAAAACTGGCTTTTGCTAACTTAAGTTTTGCCATCAGGATAGTCTGTCTGTTTGGGCTTATTTATTTATTTATTTATTTTCCTTCACAGCATTGGTAAATTTGGTCACATTTATGTATTTGTTATTTACTCATTTCTTAAAAAATATTTTACTTATTTATTTGACAGAAAGAGAAAGATAGATTGAGCACAAGCAGTGGGGAGGGGCAGGGGCAGAGGAAGAAGCAGACTCCCCACTGAGCAAGCAGCCAGACCTGAGGCTTGATCCCAGGACCCTGGAATTATGAACTGAGCTGAAGGCAGCCACTTAACTGACTGAGCCACCCAGGGACCCCTGTATTTGTTTTTTAAATATATTTTCTGTTTCTGATTTAAGAGGGTCAAGGGTTGTCTATTATTTTCTTATCTACTGTATAATAAAGAATTTTGTAGACACTCAATAAACCTTAGATGAGTGAAGGAAAAAAAAATTCTTGTTGTAAGGAAGAGTTCAAAGCTCACTTTACCTAAATGCAGAAAAGAGGTTGTCAGTCTGGAAGGGATTCAAGGTTGCTCTAAGCTGCATAACTTAGAAAAAATAATTCCCATGTATCCAGACTAGAGAAGCAATTCTTTTTAAGTTAAAGCTTATAAAGAGTTATAAAACCATCTGACATTTTACCAGTCATTTATGTTTCAGTAATGTCATTGGCTTACATTTAGTAATTTATCTTGTTTTTTCCTGGATGGTCTGATTCTTTCTATTTTGTAATTTTAAGGATTTTTTTTCTTATTTTTTTTCTTTTCCTTATTCTCTAAATGTGCAATTCTCAATGTTGGCCCATTTTGCTTCTTCCAGGAGCTATTTGGCAATGTCTGGAAAAGTTTTTGATTGTCACAATTGGGAGTAGGGGAGGATGCTACGGTCACTCTTTGAACAGAGGAGAGAAATGTGGCTTAAAGTCAAATGTACAGAATAGCTCCCCAGTAACAACCATTCAACTCCAGATGTCAAAGGGTGACATTGTGAAACCCTCCTCTAATCTAGTTCATGTTAAAAATAGTGATCTGTGTTTTATCCTTAAAATGATTATTAAATTGGAAAAATATTGCTTCTGTTTATGATACACCTTTTGCTTCATCATAACTGAAGCTTTTTCCATTGTAACTAAAGTAAGTTCATCCAGGTTTACAGGGTGCATAGCAGTGACCATTTATCCCTATAAGTCTTTTCCAGGCTTTCCTCTTTACATCTTTAAATGTTGGCAGACACAATGAGAGTTTTGATGAGTATCATCATGTCATTCTGTCGATTTAATGTATCTTTGTTAATCTGTTTTATAGGTCCCTTTAGATGGGATGTAATACAGCAGAAGACTTTTCATCAAAAGGATTAATGCCTGCATTATCATTTCTGCAATAAAACAGAAAGTCAAGTGGTGGAGGCCACAGACACCTCAAACCTGGATTCCACAATTCTACATTAAGTGCTGGAGTTTTTATTACTCTGCTGTTGGAAAGCCTTTGCCAATGCTTACAAGGAACTGCTTATCCCTGCTTCTCTGGGTCCTGTTTGATGGAGGTCTCCTAACACCCCTACAACCACAGCCACGACAGACTTTAGCCACAGAACCAACAGAAAATGTTATCCACCTGCCGGGGCGCTGGCCACATTTCCAACGAGTTAAACGGGGCTGGGTATGGAATCAATTTTTTGTGCTGGAGGAATACATGGGCTCTGAGCCTCAATATGTGGGAAAGGTAATGGCATTTCTTTTGACAACCACTTGATAGCAAGGGGGATTATGCATTGTGTATTGTGTGTGGATGTTTTGCACAGGAGTTGAACAAACCAGTGACTAGAACACTGGGATTGAAATCCAAGAGACCTGGTTTCTCTTCCTGACTCAGTGGCCCGGGTAAGCTTTGGAATATCATTTAATCGTTCTTTACCTCAATTCTCCCTGGTTATTTTAATGAAATTAATATATATTTTTCCTAATTTTTTCTTTAATTTTAACATTCTTTGCTAAAGACAAAGCACTAAGATATTAAGTGTCATTAAAAGTGGTGTTATAGCACATTATTGCTCACAGACATTCTGAAACTATTTACCAAGAAGAGACATAGGGAAAAAAAAAAAACAAAACAGGCATAAATATTCTAAACTACTGTTGATATCCTTGAATGAGCAGGATGCCTTCCTTCCCCCACCCCTTAAAAACATGACATACCATTTGAAATGTGATTTGAAGTATTTGACGTGGCTTGCTTATACTTTATAAATTATTTATTTATTACATGTTTTGCAAGCTCTTTATGAAGCTATGTATGGCCAAAGTAATAAGTATTGGAACCCAAGTACGTACACCTCAGTCTCTGACACAGCATGCCACTTTTAAATCTTACTGTAAATTCACAGAAATTTTTTTTCCACAAAATAATTGATGGTAACTCTTCCTCTCAGCACATTTATACTTTACTGCTATTTTCCTTACATAAAATATTTGGCCCTTGTCTAGAATGGATATAATTTATCATTGCCACCAATTTTTTTTCTAGAAAAATGAATATTTTATTTTGTTACTAACTGTCCTTAAATCTAAAAGATTTTGTCATGGTTTTAATAAAAACATATATGCTTGAAAGCAAAACAAAGCAAAATAGAGCAGAAAATATATGCTTGAAGAGAGTTTAGAATAAACCCAAAAACAGAAATGGAAAACTATAGCAGAAGAAGTCCTAGGAAGCTGATCTAGAAGAATGTCTCTATTGTACATTAATGTCCTCAGAGCTTTCTGGAAGCCTAAACTAATGAGAAACAGGATGAGTCTTGTGATTCCAGTGGTAGATAAAAGGAAGCACTAGCTTCCTTTCAAGTTATTTACACTATATTTTTTGAATGTACCTTTTAGAAATATATTTACAGAATACCAAATAATATAGTGGAAAAGATCTTTAAAAGAGCCTTTGTTGAAAATGAACAGATAGCCAGGGTTTCCCTTAGGTATATGGGACCCCAGGCAAATATTTTCTGTGGGATACCTATCTCTATATAAAGTTGGAGTTATGCCAAGTCAGTCTTTGAGTACCATTCTGGCAGTCTAATTTTTAGTGATTTTGTAAAAAATACACGATGTCATTAGCACAGGCTATCTCCACGACAGACCACTTGCTAGGAATCAGGATCTAGTCATGTGACCCTGGGACAACTCCATACATGTTAGTCCTGGAGCTCCACAGAGTATCTGATAAACCCCAAATTAAGTAGAAAGTCAGAGAGTGCCTTCAAGGGGACAAGTGGACACTAAGGCCCAAGCAGTTCTAGTCAAGCCCATGACACCCCACCCAGACGGCATTGCTGTCCATAAATAGACCTAGGAAAAAGAAGGGTCTCAGGAAATTTTGAAGAAAGCACTCCAAAACATAGAAGCTCCAACATTACTCTACATTGCTTTTGCTTATATGATTCCTCTATATGACCGTTAAATACAATAATCTTTATGGTGACATAATTTCATGTTTTGGAACACTTGTTTCTTATGAGTTAATGTAATATAAGGATCAAGTTTTGGAATCTAAGACAGATGGATAGGCAGCATAGCTCTGAAACTCTGCCTCATGGGTATTAATATTCTCAGCTCTGCTTATGATGGAAACTAGACATCATGTTGAGGTTCCTGGCAAGAGTGTAATGAGAAAGTGTTCTCTCTGATTTTGATGGAAGCAGATTCATAGCCTTTAGTTGCCTGAATCTGAAGTGAAAAGATTGTTGAAAAATTAATGAAACCGACTTTTATTTTATCTTAGAAAGAGTCGCATTTCACCTAGGAATTGCATATCCAAATTTTGTTTGATTCTCTTGAATCATATCTTTGTAATTGCTAATATAGCATAGAATTCATCCAATTCACTTCAAAGATGAATTAGCATTTTATACATAGACTGTAAAGGAGTAGATCTAAAATCTATTATTAAATGAAAACATTATTTTCAGTCACACATTTGTAATGCGTGACAAGAACCTGTGGCTCTCCCACAATGCATGTTCCTAATGCAAATGAAACAGTAGGAGCCCCAGTTTCCTTTCCATATGGAAACTAAAGTTTAATTAAGTTTGTCATGGTGAGTCAAGATGTGGGAATAGTAATATAACATCGGGACCAATTCAAGTCATTATATGTATGTGTGCAAACATATATAAATATATTTATGCTTCTGTTTCTTTTTAGAAAGGCATTGAGACAGTTCTCAGAAAAATAAAATATCATAAATAATGTAGAATTCTAGACGAAGCAGGAAGGCAGATGCAAAGGTGCCAAGCATAGTGGTGGTAGTGGATTGGTTAAATACATAGTAGATTAGTAAAATAAAACTGAACTTCCATAATTGAGCTTCATATTTAATCTTGGGTATTTTGCAGCATCAGCATCTATGGTAAACACTAATTTGTACAGTTCCTATTACTGAAAGTTCCACTTATTGAGAAGAAAAAATCTATGTCCCTAGCTTCAAATCTGAAAGAATTTATACATGTGGAAATGTACAGTCAGGATCCTGAACGGCTTAGTGGACATTAGCATCAACAACTGTTCTATTTAAAAGGAGCAGATGTTAATGTTGACATTCCTTCAAGAAAGACCACACTGTGGTGTTGCTTATAAGGAATATTACTTTACTTTATATACAAATAAATCATAAGAGCTTCCAGAGGTAAAGCCAGTAATTCCCTCAAAAAGACATTTTGGATTTTCAACAATATTTGGATGGATAAATGTACAATGCATAGTAACACAGAAATTAATTTGATCAGCACAAATTTTAATTCAGGTTCTATCAATTGCTCACAGTTCCCTCTAAAAACAGAAACAAAACAAAACAAAAGTCCACCTATAATATTTTTTTAAAGATTTTATTTATTTATTTGACAGAGAGAGAGAGAGATCACAAGTAGGCAGAGGCAGACAGAGAGAGAGAGGGAAGCAGGTTCCCTGCTGAGCAGAGAACCTGATGCGGGGCTCAATCCCAGGACCCTGAGATCATAGCCCAAGCCTAAGGAAGACGCTTAGCCACTGAGCCGTCCAAGTGCCCTCAAAAGTCCACCTATTATTAAACACACACACACACACACACACACACATACACACGGTATACACAAACACATACTCACAGAGTAAGCTGGATGCTTGCACGAACATGTATAACTGGGTGCCTGTATCTGTGTAGCCCTACTTTATATCATAGCCTCAAAGCTATGTATCAAGAAAATGCTGCCCAGTTATCCACAAAGAATAATTTAGGAAATTGAGTTGTCATTTCAGATGATCTCTGTTAGCAGTAATTCTTACATTTAAATTATTTAAAATGGCAAAAAGATTAAAAATGGAAACATACATAAACCCTAAATTCTGGAGGCATTGAGAATGCATTACAATTTGAAAAAGTGTTAAGCCTGGTAGGGATCAATCTAATTATGAAGGTCGCTAGATTATAATTGTAATCAGCAAGCTTTACTTAGTGCTTACCTTGGGCACTGTTTTAATTGTTTTACATTCATAAAATTATGTAATCCTCAAAACAACATATGAAGAAGATTTCTAGTAGCCCCATTTCACATATCAGAAAACTGAGACACAGAAGAGTCAGGTAACTGTCCCAGGGCTCCACAGACAGTAAATGCTGAAACTAGGATTTTAAGTAAGGAAGTTTAGCTCCATTGAACCAGAAAATATCACAGATTGTTATCTTCTAAGGATATTAAGAGCTAATAATAATTTCAATATTCTGTCGAAAGTACTATAGTGGAGATCTTATTGGGGTGGTGGAGCCAAAGGCAAGTCTATGACTATGTCCAGAAGATGGAGGAGTTTAAGAAAGCCTTCACAGACGAGGGAGCACCTGAGATGCATCTTGAAGGATGACTCCATTTTTTCAGAAGAGAGAGTCTGAGGGAAAGCTTTATAAGCATTGAGGCTTGAAAATTCTAGATGAGGCTTAGATAACCATATTTCAATATAGTCAGAAAACATGAAGCCAACTGTTTCGGGTAGGTAAATACAGAAAATATTAGGTTCAATTCTAATATCAAGATCGTATTTATGTATTTGTTTGTTTATACATTGGGGTATAGTTGACAAATAACATTATATTAATTTCAGGTGTACAACATAATGATTCAATATTTGTATACATTGCAAGATGATCACTGCAATAAAGCTAGTTAATATCTGTCGTCATATATCATTACAAAATTTTTTCTTGTAGTTAGGACGTTTAAGATTTACTGTCTTAGGGGCATCTGGGTGGCTCAGTCGATTAAGCGTCTGACTCTTGGTTTCAGCTCTGAGTCATGATCTCAGGGTCCTAGTATCAAGCCCCTCACTGGGCAGACCCAGAGTCTGCTGATGATTTTCTCTCTCTCTTTTCCTTTCCTTCTGCTCCTCTCCATGCTCACTCACTCTCTCTCCCTCTGAAGTAAGTAAATATAATCTAAAAAAAAAAAAAAAAAAAGATTTACTCTCTTAGCAACTATCAAATATTCAACAGAGTATTATTTACTATAGCCTTGTGTGGTATACTCTAGTTTTGTTTGTTCTTAAAGGTCTCATGATCCACAAAGATGCCTTGACTGAGGATTCAGATGGACAGAGTTGCAGATGTAAAATGAGCACTAAAAGCGCCACTTCAAAGACCCATTGGAGGTGGGGGGACAGACCTGGAGACAGGGAGAACATAAAGTTGAAGGTTACAGTAGGCCTGAC